GAGAAAATTTGTTCTAATTATTAATTAGAATTGTTAATTATTGCCCCTAATTGCCCACATTTTTCAATTTTGTAAACTGAAACAATGGCTGCTAGTTATACTGATGATCAGCCAGTTCATACATTTCTTCATGTGAGCATTTGTCCAGCAATGTCAGGAACTAAGAAATACCGCACTGCATAACTGACCTCTGAACTCGAGAACCAGGATGATTTACAGGTTCTGATCCACTGAGCACTGGCTTTCCTAAACGATTAAGGCAAAATAAAATATTTTTTAACGATAGCATTCAAGAAGCATTTCGTTTTACGGTAAGTCACAAAATATTTTTAGGATGCTTTTTAGAGTACAAATCTATCCTTAGGCACTTTATGCGATAAAATAATGCAAACAATAACAATTAAAAATAAAAGCTATAATAAAAAAAATCTATTTCTCAAGAACTTTAAAAAAAATTAAAGTGCACATAAAAACCACATGAAAGAATGAATAATCTTCCTAAATCACTCCCTCCTACTCTCAAACCTGACTGCTCTGAGGAGGAGGGCCTCTGTTGCAGATTTGAAGAAGTGGGTGAAACTGCATGGGTTTCAAATAAATTTGTCCCAAGCTAAACTAAATACTTAGTTTATATAGTGGAAATATAGTGGTAAATAATGCATTTGGCATAATATAGGTACCCTGTGAACCAACCATCTAATTCTCAACACTTGGGCAGTCACATTTCAGCACCCAGAGAAATTTGAAAGACACTCCCAAACAGAATGAACACAGCTGGTCATCACTGGCTGCCTTGAATGCTTTCTTGGTACAAAAACAGGAAATAAATTAAACGAATGACAGGTGATGGTACTGAAGATGACAACTGGATAACTGAAACAAAGTTGGATTTCTTTAGAGAAGACTGCAGCTGCATATGGAGCTAGGCTTGTAAAACACTCCAGCCCCCTTGAGCAATACACTGCTCAGTCCAGAAGAACTTTTAAGCTGAGCATTTGGCCCAGCAAAACAAAAGCTACTCCAGCTAAGACTAGCTGTAAATCCTCATTGAAAGTGGTTAATTTCCTTATACATGGCATTTTTCTCTTGTCTGGAGAGTTGCTCACTCTTATCTATCCCAAACAGCCTTCAAGCATTGATTCAAGAGTCCTGTAGACTCCCTTAGATCAGTAAACAAGAAAAGAGAGAGAACTGAGTATTAACTGCAGGCTGAGGACTCTTCGATCCAAATCTTTTGACTACTTCCTTCAGAGATGCTGAAGAACACGGGAGACAAGATGGACATTTGTGAGTCTTCATAAATGGTTGAATGGCTACAGGGTGGAACACAAGCTCCCTAGTGCTATGTGAGATCACATCTCCAGCAAATACTTGAACTAATATAATCTTGTGGTGCATATGCCCCTGCTTACCTGCATTTGATTTGTTTCTTGGTATCCTGTGAGATTTTGGAGGAAGAGGAAGCTTAGGAACACCTCCATTGCTCAGTGAAGTCTGTACTGGCATATGCAGAATCTTTAAAAAGTGAAAGCAACAGAAATAAAGGTGTCTGAAAGTTTTTTTAGCTCCAAAAAAAAAAAAAAAACACCCACCTCTACAGTTATTTTTCAAACACAGCATTTACCTGCCGGGAAGGATCTGAGACAGTATTTCCACTTTGTCCCATTATAGACACAGGAATCATCCCCACCATTCCTTGCAATACAGGCTGTACTGGAGAAGCAATTATAATTGCAGAACCTAAAAACGAATGCACATATGTGAACTATAAAATTTTAGAGTCTTCAGTCTCTCTCTCTCTCTCTCTCTTTCTCTCCTAAGTAAAAGTCAGTGAAAGTACTGAAGACAGATTCTGCTAATTGGAGTTAAGTAAGTCTGACCTGATAAGCTTGGAAGCCACATCTAAGTAGCTTTAAGCCATTCAGAGAAAGGACAAACTATAGGCAGCAAAAAATATAGAGCCAGCTGCATAAACTGATTTCAGTTTGGTGCTAAAATGAAATACATAGCTCTAAAGAACAAATCAAAAGCAAATTACAGCATTTTCTAAAGGCTGGCTCAGATACAGTTTTTTCCACATGGACTAAGCCTAAACTTTCTCAGCTGTGCAGCCTTACAGAGGAAATAAAGTGTGACTCATGTTGTCTCTTGATGCAGTCACAAGTTTTACTAGCAGTTTATATAAAAGATGAACAAAAATGGGCAAAGCTCTAAGTACGAACCAGAGGTATAAATGGGAGTGTCCTGACCTTAAGTAAAATGACCCTGAACAAATGAACGAGGTCCATTTGTATTGCCTGTCTGTGAAAAACAGGCATGTAATCATTTTTATTCTTTGTGAGGTCCTAGGCTTCGTTTCCTTTTCCTCCTCTTCCCTCATCAAGGGCCTTTACTAGGTTCTGAAATATAAACCAGAGCCGCACAACATCCACCTCCCCGAAGCCCCTCCAAGGTCTGGCATAACCACATTAACTGTATTATTAACTATATTTTATTATTTATAATAGGCATGTTTAGAATTGGCAATCGAGGAATGGATTGTTCTGGGGCATTCTAGAACAATCAGCTTCCTCTGGGATCAAAGGGAATGTTCTTCCAAACTGAAACTGCTTCAAGGTGTCCTAGACATAATGTTCCAGATGAAGCAGACATGTTTTGAGACCAGACCACCTAGGAACATCTTGAAACCACTTCTGGTTCAAACTATTTACTGAACTTCCATCCTCAGAATGACATTATCTGAAGGGAAAGAGAACATTCTCTAAAATAGTGTTTCCAGCTCAATTTTTGCAAATCCCTCATTTATCATTTTATTAATCCAAATTTACCTTTTGTCCTACCTACAGTGGTGCTTAAAAGTTTGTGAGCCCTTTTGAATTTTCAATATTTCTGCATAAAATATGACCTAAAACGTGATCTGTTCTCCACACAAGTCCTAAAGCTAGATAAAGAGAACCCAGTTATACAAATGAGTCAAAAACACTATACTTATTTATCGAGGAAAATGATCCAAAGCTACATATTTGTGTGTGGCAAAAGTATGTGAACCTCTAGGATTATCAGTTCATATGAAGGGGAAATTAAGAGTCAGGTTTTTCAATCAATGGGATGATAATCAGGTGTGTGGGAAGTCCTGCTCATTTAAAGAACAGAACTCTGGGTATTCACTATCAAAGTCTGAACTTTACAACACTCATTGAACAAATGAGATTTCTGAAGACCTTCAAAAGACAGCTATTGATGCCCATCAGGCCAGAAAAGGTTACAAAACTATTTTCAAAGAGTTATGACTCCACCTGCAGTCCAGTGTCAGGCAGATCATGTAGAAATGGAGGCAATTCAATACCATTGTTACCCTCCCCAGGAGCAGCTGACCAACCAAAATCACACCAGGAGCAAGGCGTGTAATACTCTGGGAGGTCTCAAAGAACCTCAGGGTAACGTCTAAGGAACTAAAGGCCTCTCTTGCATTGGCAAATGTCCGTGTTCATGAGACCACCATCAGGAGAATATTGAGCAATTATGGTGTGCACAGCAGGGTTGGAAGAAGAAAGCTTCTACTCTCCAAAAAGAACACTGGTTCCTGTCTACAGTTTGCAAAAGACCACATGAATAAACCAGGCGGCTTTTGGAAGAATGTTCTGTTGATGGATGAGACCAAAATAGAACTTTTTGGCTTGAAAAAAAGTGTTATATTCGACTAAAGGCAAACACTGCATTCCAGCATGAGATTATCCCATCTGCGAAACGTGGTGGCAGTATCATGGTTTGGGACTGCTTTGCTGCCCCTGGACCAGGACAGTTGCCATCATTGATGGAACTATGAATTCTGAATTGTATCAGCAAATTCTACAGGAAAATGTCAGGGTATCTGTCCATGAACTCATGAAGAAGTGGGTCATGCAGCAAGACCATGACCCAAAACACACAAGTCATACAACCAAAGAATGGTTAAAGAAGAAAAAAGTTAATGTTTTGGAATGGCCCAGTCAAAGTCCTGACCTTAATCCTATAGAAATATTGTGGAAGGACTTGAAGCAGGTAGTTCATGTGAGGAAGCCCACCAACATCTCTGAGCTGAAGCTGTTCTGTAAGGAGGAAGGGACTCAAATTCCTTCAAGCTGATAGGCAGGACTGATCAACAATTAACAGAAATGTTTAGTTGCAGTTATTGCTGCCCAAGGGGGGCACATCAGTTACTGAAAGCAAAGGTTCACATACTTTACCACACACAAATAGGTACTTTTGGATCATTTTTCTCAATAAATAAATGTACAAGTATAATGTCTTTGATTCATTTGTTTGAGTTTTCTTTATCTAGTTTTAGGACTTGTGTGGAGATCACATTTTAGGTCATGCAGAAATATTGAAAATTCAAAAGGGTTCACCAACTTTTAAGCATCACTGTATCTACGCCCAGGTATACCAGGTGTGTTTCTTAGGCCAACAAACACTGCAAAACTCACACCTTAAAAATATAGATCCTACTATTAGAATTTTAAAAAATATTGGAGGAATGCTGAATAAAACTGTCAATTTGAAAACAACTGAGCATTTGCTATCAAGAAATAATAGATTATTTAAGGACTAAGCAATCATTTGCATACTTATGTATTAAATCAGGATATCACTTTCAGCTTATGTTTAGTGGCTGCAAAAGCAAAAAGGGGAAGCTTTAGTGCTTGAACAGACTTCTCTTATATATGAGTCTTTCTACGTGAACATGTTATTGAGTCTTCATGATCCTTGATTTTGACCAAGTCAAAAAGTTAATTTACTCACCAACCTTTGATTTTTTTCACTTATTAAAAATCTGATGATTGATGGTGCCATCATGCTAAATGATACAGAATCAAGGTTCAGCAATTGCCAATAAAAGCAAAACTGGTTACAGCAGTTGGTTACAGCTCATCCAAGATGTCAATCATCACCATGTGATTTTTGCCCATGTGATTTTTTTTAATTATCAGTCTTTATAATCTTTTTTTAACCATCATAAATTAATTCCAACCAACAGCACATTAAATTTCAACTGTTTTAAAACCCAAGTAAACATTTAGTTGTCAACAAATAATTACCCTGTGAAAAGTTTGGAGACATTGGTGGGTTCATGGCAAACAAACTGTTTGTCCTAGGAGGCGTCCGTAACTGTGGTGGCACTGGAACCTGTGATGCAAGAGAAGTTGAATTGCCAGGAAATACAACTAAATTTGATGGAGTAACATTAGTACTCAGTGCTGTTGGCTCAGTTATACAGGAGGCAATATAAACACTATTGGAGCTGCCAAAAGATGTGCTTGTGGCTGGCAACAGTTGAATAAATTCTCCATCCTTGGCAATATTACTTGTTCCAGCAATGGAAAATACTGCACAATCTTCATTCTGTATGCTGAATGAACTCACAACAGAATCTTGAGATCTGAGGACCAAAAGATTCTGTTCTATCAAAGCTGAATCTCCAGGCCTTTCAGACTCTTCAGCTGTTATACATTTAGATGTTCCTGTCATCTTGGCTGGTGATTTAGCTGGAGAAGATAATATTATAGTTGGCACATTTTCTCCAGTGATGCTGGAAACAGCATTGTTTAGCTCAGTATCTGATGAAATGAATGGATCGTCACTAATAATAATTTTTAGGGAAACTATATTGGAAGAATCTACACCAGTGCCTTGATTACTAGATGAAACACTCCCAGCAACTTTGTTCCCTGGACTTGATTCACCTGTTGGATCTGGAAGTGGAGAATGACATTCACTGGATGTAGTGGGATTGGTCTCAGTAGTTGTTTCTGTGTGCTTCTCATTGTCAGAAGTTAAAAATAAGCCCTCAGCATCTGCTTTTGTAGAAGATGATGGCTCTTGCATTTCTACCTGTGTGATTTCAGAATCCTCCAATTTCTGGTTTCCGTACTTTAAGTAAGGGTCTGGGTCTGTAGCTGGATCATCCAAATTAAGACTATTGGAAGTACCAACAACTTCAAGTTGGAGCTCTACTACATTTGGACTGGATGCTTCAACCACAAGTGTTGTGGCAGGTTCTGATTCCAATTTATCTGAGCATTGACAATCAGAGGAAGTAGGACTGTTTCGGTTTTGCTGGGCAGATACAGGAAACACAGATGATTGGTCTGTTACCTGCTCTAGATTTTTAGCAGTTTCTTCTGAATGGCTACAATTCATGTCAAGTTTGTTCACTGTTTCACTTTCATCAGATTTCAAGGGAGCAAGCACTTTTGTACTTGTCTTTTCAGACAGTACATGATTTGGCAAAGAACAACACTCAGTTCTATCAGGCAACGCTGTTTGTGAAGTATCCAACTGATTATACTGCAGATTAGCTAAGTTCTGAACACCTTGACATAATATGTCCTTATCAGTTCTATAATCCCTTGTTGCTGTTCCTTGTTTGTTGTAAGAATCTATATTGTGCTCAGTGAACTCTGTAGTAGGGACCTGATTTTGCCCAGATTCAAAGGTAGCTTTGTGCTTGATTCTTTGGTCATGTGTCTCCATTTCAACTGGTTCACTTTGACTTCTCACTTCACAGCCAGAAGAAAATTCTCCAGCTACTATAGTTTGCATCTTTAGATGTTGTTCTAAAGACAAATCATTTTCATTGCAACTAGTCTTTAGGACACATGCTTCTTTTGAATGACCATCTGTGTATGACAGACTCACGTGCGAATTATCTCCTGCAATATAAAAATAAATTTAGTAAAAAACAGATTTGAAATCACATTATTAGTCTTCTGAATATTTTTTTTCAGGATAATGTTTCTTGACACTCATTTTCAGTCTTCCATTATTCTAATTTTTAATGACAGCCTTAACTAGCATCTCTAAAGGATAAGATGAGTAATATGAAAATGAAGGATAAAAAACATTCCTGTCTACCTTTTTCAAAGGACATATGATAAAACACAGAATAAATCTGCATTGCTCATTCATGATTGAATGTCTTTGGAATGTTGTGTGCAATTCTGGTCACTGCACCTCAAAAGGATATAGTAGAACTAAAGAAGGTTCTTTCATAATTTGTAAGAAATTCCAAGAGTTTGTAACAAATAATCAATTACATAGCATGAATAAATACAGCATAATAACTACACATACTGCACACAAAACTATACATACGAAACAAAGAAGAATTCCCCATTCTTTTGCCTCAAGACAAATCAGAAACCGATGTGTTTATTTGTATGTCTAATTAGGGAGCTACTGATACATTATCACAAAAGCCGACATTTTAGCAATGGCCGGCATTCTACACTGATTTATACAGATGAGAAAAAGGTATCAAACAGAAGTTATCAGGCTGTATAAAATAATGCTTGGGTTTTTAAAAGGAAGACAGAAACTTAATTGCAACTCAAATTTCAATTAATCAACTTGCAGCCTGACCTTTTATGGATTTGCAAAAAGCTAATACCATATATTTCAAAAGGAATTACCGTCCTTTGGACAATAGAGACAAATTTAGCATATGCCAGTATGAAATCTTCCGGTCCCACAGATGGTAATCAATTTTATAACAGGCATACCATTACTCCAAACCTCCATGATATTAAACCTTTAAATCAATAATAGTCTTCCCTATCAGAGAAACCAGATACTAGTAGTATTTCAGAAGTGCTTACCAATTTCCTTAGTTCCAATATAACTTTCAAGTGCTTCTAGGTTTTCTTCATCCACCAAAATGGCATTTTCTGCTCCATTCTGTGTAGGAATGCCCTGAGAAGCATTTCTACAACTCTTGGTTTTACCTATTTAAAATAAGAAAAAAGTCCTAACTTCAGGGAATATTGAACTTTAACATAAGGTGGAGGACTAAAGGAAGACACAAAGAAGAATCTATGCCTTAACTGCATTAGGAGTTCAGGTTTTGTCATCAAAATCACACTTTAAACCATTCTTTGGAAATTACTTCAGGCTCAAAGTGAACAATATTCTATTTACAGATGGTCCAATCTAGTCTACCTGGTATCCTAAATACTCTAAGTCAAATATGAACTGAAGTCTTAATACAACTCTGTTTTGACAGGATAGAATGCAAAGACTCCTTGTTTGTATGACAGAAATGTCTAAGTGACAAACAACTATAGCTTTCAGGTCTCCCCCAGCTGTGCAATTTCCAGCCACATAAGCTGGAATTCCAAGATTTGCATTCAAAACACATTTGGAAAATGCCAGGATGGGAAAAACTGAGAAAGTATAAGATCTACACTGGAGTTGTGAAAACCTGTCATTCATAATCATATGATAGGAAAACGACAGTATCTTCCTTTTAATGGAGGAATTCAGTCAGGCTAGTAAGCTAATGTTCTTGAGAGTATCTGTTTATGTATGGACATGAAGGGATGATCTAGTCAGTGTAAGCTTTTTATACTGTGTTCTAATACTTTTCTTCTCAGAAGTCCCACTGAGTTCGGTGCAGATAACTGGAAGTAACTCACCATCGTTAAGCTCATGGTATTTAAAGTGAGGAATAATCCATACCAAAATCAAATATATCAAAGAGTCCTTGAAATGCTGGATCTGATTCTGTTTGCTCCAGAATCTCCTGGATGGCTTCTTCTGTCATGTGAATTTCACCCTGCTGATGTGTAAAAATAATCAGGATATCAGTTAAAACATATTTTCATGAGTAATAAAAGCATTCTGAAAGCCAGTGCACAATAGGCTTTTGATCAAACTTTCAGATCTACAAAAATATTGTTAATTGAGGAACTATCTTAATCAGAACTGAGAGGAGAAAAGGGGAAAAAGTAGGCAGACAGATGCACAATCTGCACCTTAGCAATTGATGTAGCTTTTTGGGAAAAGGCCTAATTTATAAGTTACTTATAAGATCCAAATATGTATTAAAATTAGAATCTTACCTGAAGACCAAGAAATTCATCAATCGAAGACTCTTGTATTGTTGGACCACTTTCTGCCTGTTTTGCTGTCTGAGACATATTGCCATCACTGAGAAAAATGTGCAAATATTTAGTATATTTTAGAAATAATCTAAGCATTTTGAATCTTTTTTTTAAAGTAAGATCCATTACCTGCCCAAGAACTTGTTAATATTTTCAGCTAGCTTCTCCTGAAGACATTTGCTGCTCAAAATTTTCTCTCTGGCATTTTCAATAATCATTTGCTAGGAAATAAATTTGAAGCAGTCTAAATTTATGTTTTCATGATTACAAAAGAAACATTAATCCTATCAGCACTTCTAATAATTCCCCCCCCCAGCAGATATGTACTCTCATATATAATTTCTTAATTGGGACATCAAAGACCAAAGATAATATTTGTGCAATGGTCAGCTAACTCTTAAAAAGTTAGCAATTGCTACTCCCAATGAGTAGGTTTTCTACATCCCTCTAAACTCTGCAAATGACCTCATATATCCAAAATAGCTTAAAAATAAAAAGACTTAAGACTATACTCCTAGAACAGATATGATAGCTATGCTGCAATTTGGATGGTGAAAGCAACCTTGGAAAATTCTCAACCATATTTTGCAGTTATATTCTTGCCATATATCTAATAGATGTTTGTTCCACATTGACCACAGCCTTGTATTTAAACTCTTAAGGATTAAAAACATTTGCACAAAATGTTATTAGAAACTCCACCTCCAAAGAAAGGAATAGTATTTCATGGAAACATGGAAAGCTCTTTTTTTAAAGAAAAGAGAAAAACCCTGGCACACCAAGAAATATACAAAACTGGGATGATCATACAAAAAGAAAAAAGAAAAAGGGAGGGTAAAAAAGGTGTAGTTTGTTTTAAAAAATAATAGCTTACAGGAAGGTCACCATCAATAAGTTCTAGTTGCTCACTTTCTTCTTCCATGGGCGAGTATTCTTTTTCCACTACAGGAGAATCTCGTAAGCTACAGTTAGAGAACTGTGGTCCTGATGATGCCATATTCCTTTTCTTCTGGGAGTCACTGAAACATTTTAAATATGGGATGGGAATAACATGTCATTATGGCTAGAACTTCATGGCTTCTGCATTACCTTATCCATACTTCATCATGTTCTGTTCAACATTATATTAACATATTTCAGAGGAATCCAATGAATCCAGTGGAATTGTTATGGAATTAGATGCATAATTTACAGTCCAAGGGGACAATGACAGAAAGCAAAACTGAAATGTAATGAGTTTATCCAAATTCATAAACAAGTCAGTGGAAATATGAAGTGGGACTAATGTGAACTGAGGATCATGTACCTTTTCTCTGCTTCTCATTTTCATTATGCACAAGATCTAAATTTTGAATATACAAGAGATGCATGCACTATAAATACATTAGCTGAGAACTGTTACCTTTTTCTTTTTCCTGGAGACAATACACTTGAGATAAGCTTTCGCTCTTGGAATGCTGAAACCAGAGTGAGGGAATCACCTGCTTTAAAAAAGGATTTAAGAACCAAATTATATTAAATATTGCTTTGCTTAAGATGTTTAGAGTATCAGTAATGAATCATCGTCAACAGTAAGAAAATGAGAGAGTGATACTGATTGGAAAAAACACGGGCACCCTCTTTTTGAATTTAATTAAAAAACATGGGTTGTGAAAAACCTCAGCAAGTGCTTTGTGCTAGTCAGCTGATAAGAGAAACTAAGAATACAGCAGAGTTTAATTTTCCATTGGAGGATGTAGGGCTAGTAGGTGGCAATAGAGGTGGAGTCTTAAAGTACCACGGAAGCTCTAGGAAGGAGGTTAAGGAGAGAGAATTGGAATGGAATTGTACTGGCTAGCAACTAAGATGAATCTAGACAAAACTAGCTGCTGAAGATTACTAGCATACAGATTGGCTAGTAATCCTAAAACGGACTGGGCAGTGTTACACATTTTGTACCTGGGATGGTGAAAATTATCTGAAGCAGAGGAGGGCACAAGGCAGAGAAATGTGTTTGAGATGAAGAGGAGAATGCAGCAAGGGACCAAGGATACCCTTTGCAGATGATCCTTCAGGGACTGAAGATGACAGAAGAGTAGAGGTTTTCCCAGACAGAAAAAAGCCAGCTGTCTGCTTAACTGACTAAAGGAAATGCTGGCTAGTATCTTTAGGCTCTTCCTTCATTTTAGACAGTAATATTTAGAGCATTTAGAAACACAGAGGGGAACACATACAATAAGCTAAAAATATGTCTTGCAAATATATGCATGCTTAGAGAAGCTTTAGGCTGCACTATTCAATAGGAGGAAAAATAATTGAATTTCAATGCATTTTTAATCTCAGGCGGAGGTTCTCTTCTGCATCTTATCAGTAAAAGTGGCTAAGAGAAGATGGGAGGGTCCAGGGTTGGCTTGGCAGGACCGTAAGTAACTTTACAGAGGAATGCATCTGAAAGTGAATCTAGATGTTTAATAAAAGAAAAAAGAGTGAAATAGTATTCTTCACTGACTTTTCTATCAAATCCTATGAACCCACAGGGAGCCCTGGTATGTGAGGATTTAAATAATATTCTGTTTTCAATGGAAACAGGGTTTCTATACTCCCTACATTCAATGCCAGAAAGGAAATGTTATAGTGGTCGTATGGTTTTCTCAATAGTTTCCTTATAGTTCGTATCCAACTCAAGGAAAAGTTCATTTAAACTTACTATTAAGTTGGCTTTCCTGAATTTGGCCCTGATGTGCAGATGAAGAATTCAATCTTGCCTGAGCCAGATTTGAAGTTATAATTGGTTTAAGAATAACTTGCGTGGCTGTCATTGCAGTGGAAGTTAGTTGTCCTGGTTGATAAACTGCAGGTGATGATCCTAAATTAGAAGAGGTTGACTGTTGAAGGCACTTCTGCTTTTTCATATCGGCAATTGCACTTCTAGTGCGGCCTTTTAAAAAAAAAAAGAACAAGGAACCTTTCATTATTTATTTATTTGGTAAATTTAAATAACCACCCATCTCACATATGTTACTCTGAGTGGTGTACAAAGTTTAAAATATATATAAATCATAAAATAAATAAATTAAATAAAAATATTTTATATTGAAATATTTTGAAATAAAGGCTATTGTTCTTCATTCCTTCACTCATGACTAATTTTGAGCCAGAAAGCATTTATTCTTCTGTTGGTAAATATAACTGGCATCAATCAATGCTATGCTATCTTGATAGTTACACAGATTCAGGAATTTGTTGCCACATTCCAGGATTATATAATCTAAAACTAATGGAAATTTACAGAATTAGTACATGGTATTTTTCTAGATCATTTCTAGATCAGAGTCATAAGTGTATCTCCTGCTCCTGCACTTTCTGAACTATTATTGTGGCAAGAAGTGGAAAAAGTAGGCTTGCTTATGTATTCATTAAATTTCTATGTCAACAGAATCTCCAAGGACTGCCAGTAGTTAATAGCAATAAAATATCTAAACAAATATACAATATTGAAATATCCACAATAAGAAAATAATATAGTAACAATATGGAGCAATAAAGATCATAATAGCATCATGCCAATTATCCCCAAATACTCTCCGGAAAAGCTATTTTAACCCACTTTTGGAAGGCTATAAGAGGGGGCCTTATCTAACTTCCAGAGGGAGGGTGTAGGTGCCATCATTGAAAAACAGCGTCTCCAGGCCTCAGCACCCCTCACCTCATGGACGTGGAAAACTACAAGCAGCTTTTCCCAGGGAAATGGAAAAACATTACATAGGGATGACTGAAGAAAGGGTAGGGAGACTGTGCTTGTAAATAAACTTCTAAAATCTGGATTTTATATCTATATTGTATAGTCCAATATAAAGCAGCTCCATTAGCATGCTTTATTAGAATGAAGTCTCACTGAAATTAATGAGACTGATTTCTAAGTAACTATGATTTAAATAAGGTGTGAAAGGCTTTTGAAGGTAAACAAGTCAAGTCACGTAACATAGTTTCAAATACATACTCCGTTGATGAGCAGAAAATCCACCAGAATTCTGCATGCTCCTGCAAAAATTGAATTGTTAGTTTACATAAAAATGCAGCACATAGGTACATCAAAATATTAAATTTAGAATACTTATGTGACAACCACATGTAGAGATAAATGCATAAAAATAAGTTTCAACTGACAGTTTTCTTATATGTTTTATGCTATTTCAGTAATCAGTAATTCAGAAATCAGTAATCTTTCCTGGCAGCAAGCACTATCATGCAATCTTATACAATATTGAGACAGGGAAAAAATGCTGAAATTCTGCAAAGTTTACAGCAATTTCACCAATATAGCCTTGTGCAAGAATGCCAAAATTGTACAATACTTCAGCGACTTCACGAAAATTGCAAAAAATTGAAATCTTGGGTAATTTCATTGAAGAACAATGGAATCTGACAAAGCATGACAATCTTGCAAGATTACAGCATAGTCATTTAAAATGGGATGTTTATTTTTCAATTGGCATTGGAATTATGACCCTGTAGGCATCACACTGTTGACTTATAATAGTCACCAAGATGAGTATTCTGCAGTTGTCAAGATCTGTTTTAGTTTGACACATTACATACACATCTACTTCATGGATTTTCAAAAATAACAGCAGTTAAATTGTTATAACTAAGACCACAATAACTTAAGTGAGGATGTTTATTAATTTAATTTACTAGGTTCATATACCATTCCAGTTGTCAATCAACTGAGTAGCTAACATTTCTATCATATGTAAATAAGGTTGAAATAACAAAAATAGTCAACAATAAACAATATTAGTAATAAAATATTCATATGTTAAACAAGTATAATCCTGAATTAACATATTTTTCCACAAGTGCAATCTCTCTCAGATCATTTCCCCCTCAAAGCCCTGTTGAAATAGCCATGTTTTAATAGCTTTCCTGAATTCCAATAGTGTTGTTATTTTAGCATTTGGATATTATTATTTTACAGGATGATAATGATTTTATAAAATCTAAATAGTAGAATCCAGTTATGTTTTTTCTGCCAATGGAGCCACATTTGTTAGTGGTGCTGGAGGAGAGGTAATTTCTCCTGTTCCCCTGCCAGTATGCTCTTAACGAGAAAGCCACACTGGGCTTGCAGGCTTCACTCAATCAGTTAGGGCCATCCATGGGATAGCAATATGAAAGACACTGTGCCATCAAGAAAGCATGTGAAAATTGTAACGTCAATAACAAGAATATAAGCAGAGTCAGATTTACAGACTATTTACACTACATTCAAATTACCTGATTTGAGAAAGTGTATAATCTAACTTCTTCCATAAAGATGACATCATCGCTGGAACATCATTTGTTGCTTCTTTAAAAAAAAATTAGACATAATTTTGTAAAAAATTTAAAGATATTACAAGTGGAAAATCTGTGAATCAACAGTTACTCAACCAAGAAACTCCATGTTCCAATATCGGATTAAAAATCACTATTGATTTCAGTATTTGTCACTCAATGTGATTGATATCAAGGCTCTTTTCCTCTCTGCTGCTCACAGTTGGTCAATTTTGTTTAATTTTATTTTTCTAATTGATATGTTGCTTTCTAACTATCTTTAAGTCATATCAAACGTATTTAAAAGGCATGGTTTAAATGCTTCTTTTGATTAAATACATCCATCCATTCAATTGTATAAGATCAGTATTGCCTCAATGTAGTCAAAGCAAACCAATGCTAGCAGTAAAAAGTGGCATACATCTTCCACTCCCTTTACCCATACCTACCTTTTGATTTCATTGCTATGTACTCATTCAATATGGTAATTAGGTTTTTTCCAAACAGAGACTGAGAAGAAAAAAAACAACATTAACCTATTATAATAAAGCACTGCAAAAATGTCACTTCCCAAAAGAATTTAGGAGCACCTACCCTATCTTTATGGCAAACTGTAGTATGGAGAAAACTTCAATCTAAGAACAACAGTGATGCCTCTTTAGTAGGGACCTTGGGCCTCTCTGGGATGCAGTGTGCCAAAGAGGGGTCAGCAGAAGTGGGACTAACCTTTAACCGTTATGTGTTCTGGACTGGACTTGTGGACTGGGAGATTTTGGTGTGTGTGTGTGTGAATGATTGTGAGGTATATGTTTATATTATTGAGCTCCCTCTTAGCTAGGCCTCTTGGCTGTTGAATGCTAAAGGCAGATGCACCTCGTAGAGGCGGGGGCTTGAACATGGGTGTAGTAGTAGTGGGTTCGATGGGTCCCATGGCCTGGGAAGATGGAGGTGGATTGTTGAGGGAGGTTGAGATGGGAGTGAGGTAAGGCAGGTACATATTGTGTAGTGACAGGCAGGAGAAGATATTAGCCACATGAAGCAGACCAGAAAATCAACTCCACATGAAAACCAGAACTATACTCTATAATAACAGAATCTTGCAAATCTGATTGTGCTGTCCCTCTCCTCCTTCTTATACTCCAGTGAATTAGAGAGGCATTTTTGTGAGCTGCTTCCAAATATTAGCTTGCTTCCCAGAACTTTAAAGAATGTTTCAGCCCTCTTTGCCTAGGTAACAGTTCTTGCATATTTCTATCAAGGCAATCTCCTTTACTTTCTATAAGAGATATGGTGGGAATTTGAGGAAGGGCCACTTTCAGGGTTGGCAGGATCAATGGCAAGACTGCTCCTTTTGCCAGTCCTCAACATTCACCCCTGATGCTATGTCATCAGATCTTCTCTGTCACAATACCTGCCTCTTGGAACAGCATCCCCCAAGAAATTTGTACTGCTCCCACCTTGCCCACCTTCAAGTGATCCTTAAAAACTTGACTTTCCCCCCATGCCTTGGTTTACAATGTTTGGATGTGCCCCTTTAAGTTGGCGGTGATGTAGAATAAAGTTATTTTGTTCCCTCAGACAAGTGTTGTCTTTTATTTCTGTGAAGCCACCCTGAGTTGCTCGGGAGTTGGGCGGCCTAGTAATTCAATAAATTAATAAATAAGGTTAAATTCTAATTATCCTGAACTCTCTTGAAAAAAATATAGCAAGATTTAAGAGATTATAAAGAGGAGTAATCACCTTCTTTAAAAATACATGCTACTTACCAATAGACACGCTGGAACAAAGCCTTCTCCTGTACAATGCTCTGCATATTCTTTTAAATCTGAACTTTCTGATATAAAGGCTCTGCATGTGGCTAAAAGCTTTTCTTGTTGTAAATAACCTGCAAAAGAGAAGCATTTTTTCCTACCCTGTGCATCATTATGAAAAGAAAACAAAAAAGTTTAATAAATAGCATTAATATCATGGTACAGTTCTTGTTAGAGTTTAAAGGCACTTTACAAATCTGTGTTTGATTGTAAATAAAGATGTATGTATAATATTCCCCATTTAGTTCAAACAACATCTTCTGTGTGTGAATGTTGACTGAATGGTTATCATTTTTGTGAGTTTTACCTTTGTTTTCCCTTCTGCCTTCCTTCTACAATGGATATGTTTAGGTATTTTTTAATCTGCTATCACTGTGTACTTTATATTTTGTAAATAATTTCAAATGTATAGGAAGTGACATTCAGTATATTTAATAATAATTTATGGTACATTTTCATAAATACTCTTTCTTTAAATGTAAACAAATCTACTATGTATCATTTAAGGTTGTGCAATTAAAATGGAATATCTCATTTGATGGGAGTGGATTCTAAGTGAATGCATTTAACAGAAGTTGACAAGCACTTTCCAAAGACAGTGAAGAAACTTATAGGAACATTTTAAGAAAACAGACACACAGTTTTATTCTGTGAAGGATGTGCCTCACAGAATAAATTCTAACAAATGGCTTGTAGCCTTCTTTTTTATCATCTTTCTGTAAACCTTTTAACCCTGTTGATTGCCAACAATGCCAGAAATACTACAAAAGGAAGCATAGCCCAACAAAACAACAAATGGATTATTCTTTTGTATTTGCTACTAAGATGGAAAAAGAATAATTTAGAATTAAATTCAAGATCCTTGTGGTGAAGATAGACTGCCCTGGATATATAAAAGAAAACATAAACAATTTTGTACTATGCAAATTTCCACAAATATAAAAACAGAGAACTTTTCAAGTTATTTAAGCTATCTAGTTGCCTCTGTCCAATGTGAAAGCTTGCATCTACAAATGTATATGTGTGATAAAAATTCTTCAGTCTAGTTGCCTAAACATTTATCACTGTATGGTGAAAAGACTTTGACCTTCTACATCCATTTTTCTTCAAAAGGTAAATGATAAAGAATAAGATTTCAGGAGAAGAGGCTGCAAGGCACCTTATTATTAGAAAATTATGCCCTGTTTTCTTTCCTATAGGAATATAAGAATAGTAACAACAACAACTATAGAGCTGTGCTCAATCATGCCAAAGCTTTAATTATTCCATCAGGAGCCAATGTCTAAGAGGCTTGCAAGCAGGATATGAGCGCAATGAACCCTTCGTTTGCACTCTCTGGAAAATGGGAATTTAAAGGCATACAGTTTCTAATACTGGATATACTGTGTAGCATTAGCCATTATCAGTATCAGGTACTGACAGGCTTATCCTCCATAACACAGGGCAAATGACAATGGATGGTTACTTTCTGTCATTATTTTTAATATGTTTCCATTGTCCCTATTTACCAGGAGTATTCTATATGTTGTTGTTGTTGTTCAGTCGCTAAGTTATGTCTGACTCTTCGTGACCCCATGAACCATATTGCGCCAGGCCTTCCTGTCCTTCACTGCCTCCCTGAGTTTGCTCAGTTTCATGCTCAATTACTGGCTTTTAAATATAAAGTTGTCCAGTTGAATTTCAAGTTATCAGTTCTTCTGGGTTCAGAGACTTTCCACAAAAGCTCCAATAGTTAAATCTCTCGACAGTAGAATCCTACATCTCTCTATTAGGAACTCGTGCAGCCTGCATAGCATCGATGTCCAAGTGGAATCTTCTCCACATACACAAACGAACTCATGTGAAAGTGAAGCCCCAAGGCACTGCCCAGCCCAAATATCTCACACTGGAAGTGATTTCGAACGGCATCCATTTTTAAAATTACGTATTTTTATAAAAGAAGAACCAGCTTCTGTCAATATGGTTAGGTACTAAACGATGCAAAACCATGACGGATTTTAAGGACGAGTCAGGCTTGGCGAGGAAAGCATATCAACAGCCACACGGGCTACTGGAGGGCGCCTGGGGAAGTACCCGTCACTTCTTCGGAGAAACGACGGCAGAGAGTCTCCCGTCCAGATCTGCCAGTCCTACACCGGCGCTGCCCGTCTTCCTACGACACGCCGAGCCCCGAACCAGCCCTCGCATTTCAGTCTAGCGCGTTGGGCGAACCCAGGCCGCGGGGTCGGTATTTCGTCCGGGGTGTCGTGCGAACCCATAAAACCGGGTCAACTGAATAAATCGCAGTTCAGCTCCTCGCGGGCAAGCCTACCGGGCGAGCACCGCGGGGCAGAAGAAAGCGAAGGGGACCGCCCTCCCTCGGACCCCGTCCCTCTCCGCGCTTACCTAGCACCAGGCGGGCCACGTCAGACGGCAGTAACATGGCGAGGAAAACGGGAACAGGGCTCCGCCTCCTCACCCGCCGGCGGGGCGACCGCGACCACTTCCAGCACGGCGACCGCTTCCCTCCCCCTCCCCGATTCCTCAACTCAGAAAGGCGCCCAAACCTCGGAGAGCGAGCGCAGAAGCCTAAGCCCACCCCCTTGCTCGAGACTTCCGGTCTCAGGAGCCACAACAAACGCTTTTCCGCTTCCGGGGGCGGAAGTGAATGAAGCGTTTTCCCGCTCCTCTGTTTTTACCTCGGCGGGGCCACGTGGGTGATGGAAGCGTTGGAAACGACCGGCGTGCGCGCCTGATGGCCGAGAGCGCAAGGTAGCGGGAGTCGCACGAGACCGAACGCTCGCGGGTGACATTCAGGTCCGCTTCTTCCTTCCCGGCGCGAGCCTCCTTCAGCAGCTTCGCGTTCCTGTCCTCACAGGGGCCTGTGCCGCTCCGTCGGCTTCCGAGCCGGTGTTTCTCTCTCCCTCTCCCTCTTCCCTTCCCTCCCTCCCTCCTCAGATGGATGGAGACATTGGCTCAGGTTTCTCTCTCCCCCAACCTAGCGCTCTCCAGAGCTTGTGGGAGTGTAGATCCCATCATCCCCGTCCGACAGACACAGCAGTAGAGGGATGGTTTGGGACTGTAGTTCACTATGGCTATCTGGGACTCTATTGGAGAAGACTACGTCAAAGCAAAGCCGCTGACACGGAAGTGCCTCAACAGTTACGCAGGAGAATCATGGAGGTTTCAGATAGCCCTACTGCTGTGTCAAGTGTTGAATTCGAGGGATTTAAGGTTAAATTATTTGTAAGGCTGCACGTTACACATTTATTTACATATTTGCTTAGAATGCTAGAAAAAGAAGCATGAAAGGGTGAAAAAAGCAAAATGGGTGGGTAGGTGACACCTAAAACTGGAGCTCAAAATAAGTGTTTATGAAATTATCTTGAGAAGAAAGCAGGTTGCATTGAAGTAGTTCATTCAGAGGTATTTGAAGCATTCCATACATTTTCTATAGTAAGCGTGTTTTACTTTTCTCCCTCCATTCTGTGTAATATAACTGGATTTCATTTGCTTTTCTCAATTTTCCTTTGTCTCCTTCCTCTGACCCATAACCTTCTGCTGTGATTGAATTGTAGATTGAGTTCACATATTCCCATGGCATTACACAACATGCCATGATTTATGCAACAAACTGGCTTATAGATTTGCATGACACTCAGAACTTCTCCACAGTCCATATATTCATTTGTATATGAATAATCATATACAAATCAAACTCATTGACTTCACATAGTATACTAAATCAAAATTAAATAACCCACATTATGACTTAGTGTGATTTACAAACTCTATCTTAGATTATCTGAGCTTTAGACCAGTGATGTCTCTGTTGTCTTTTTTATTCTGCCAAGTATGTAATTAGGAATATATAATAGTGACCATATGAATGAAAAATAGTTTCATAATAACACACTGTGCGTAGCCGTGGTTTACCTATTTTTGCTTACTAAACAATGGTTTATAATGCACAGAGAACCATTCTGTTAATCAAAGCAATACGTATATACTTTTCAGTGCCATCAACTTTTTGCAATCCTTTTGTTCAGACCACTTGGCTCAACCTTTTCTCCTTTATTTGGCTCTTTCTGACTCTTGTCCATCTCTTTGGTCTTGACTATCATAACCATCTCTTTGGTCCTCCATTTTGTCTTGGACCAGCACCACTTCTGTCTCAGAATAGAAATTCCTTTAAAAAGTGGTTTTTTTCCTCTATATCAGTAGTTGAAATCATCAGAGGACCTGCAAAGAGGGGCAGTTAATCCTGAGCTCTCCCTTGCTGCCTTGCAACTTTCTTGCTTCTCCCAGAGAGAAATCTCTTTATCTGAGACCAGACTTCCTTCACAGATTGGATTTGAGCCCAGGCAGTCTGCCACCAACCACATAGTGCCTTGTCAGGGTCCTCTACTGAGTTGGACTTGTAATTACAACCCCAAGGATTATAAACAATGTTTACTCACATTTATATAAATTGTACCATTATAAAAATTCTGGGGATACAATAAGTTGGTATTACGTTTCTGAAGGATGTAGGTAAAAATATAGGCTTTTCCTGTTGTCCAGAATCTGTCAAATACCTGGAAATCATAATCCCTAAGAAAATCTGTGTAGTAGATAAGAATATTTTAAACTCTATTAACCAGATGAAATGGAATATCACAATATGGGTGAAAATACTCCTACGTTTTGAGGAAGAATCAACTTGGTGAAAATATGGATATATATTTTGGGAGAAATGCCTTATGCTGGCTCAATTAAATATTTTAAATGGATTGTTAAAGGGGAAATTTCTATGGAACTTGCTTTGATCCAGTGCAGTTCTTACTTTTTGTCGTTAATCTTACTGGCATTTTCCAAACGTAGGTTCATATTGGGAGTACATTCACAACTTCGTTGAACCATGAACTTTGCAATACATGATCTGCTCACTTGCTGTCGTCAGCTTGGAAGTGACAAAGCTATGGAAAGAAAGGTAAGTTTCACTCCTTTTCCAACATACGACATTGCAGTGTGGGAATATTATATTATTTTTTGTGTTTCTGTACAAGTACAGAAGGAAATCGAGAAGTTCAAGCATCTTATCTGTGATCCAGAAACAGTTCAGCAGCTGGATCGGAATTCTGACTCCAAACATGGAAAACAGATGAACTGGGATGCTGTGTTCAGGTAGGATATTTATTGTGTATCAAAAACAGACAGCCAAGATCCAAAGTCCCTCCTTATAAATAAATAATGAAATAATAGAAATGGAAGCAAACATTTAGACCTTTTCTGCCAGAATTCAAAGATTACTGTCAGCAATGGTTTTTGTTGCCTATCTTTATCCTGAAGGACTGTAGGTAGCATACAATATAAGAAAGAGAAATAAAATATCAAAACAAAAAGGAATAAAAACCTCTAAACAAAGTAAGTAAAATAGAAATAACTAAGATAGATGCCCTCAGTTGCATTAGGTGGGTCTGAACATGCACGCACGCATACACACACACTCCTCACTGAGGGAAATTTCCAGCATTTCCTCCCTAAATGAGTGGACTAGGTGCATAGATTTAATTCTGTGTCACAAAGCGCCTAGAATTGGGACATGAAGACTACTGGCAACCAATGCAGCAATTTTACAGTGTAATTCTACGGTAGTGGAATTGTTCTGCCAACAATCTACTCGCTGAATTTTGTACTGACTGCAGCTTCTGAGCCATCCTCAAAGACAGCCTGATGTTAGAGTGTAGCTGTTATCCAAATGGGAGGTGATCAGAGCATGAGTTACAGATGTCAGAATATGGTGGTCCAGGTAGGGCCTTAACTGGCACACCAGCCAGAGCTGGGTAATCCCCACCACATGGTTTCCACATGCTGCCTGAGCAAGAACCAAAAGTCTGGGATGCCAACGTCACAAACTAATCCTTTGGGAGAAGTACAACCAATCTAGACTACTTGGCTCAGGGTATTGATGTATAATTGAGTGTCATCAGCATTCTTGTGATACCTCACATCAAATTGATGGATGACCTCTCTTGCTGGTTTTATGTAGATGCTAACAACATAGATAAGAGCTCTAAGCCCTGTGGAATTCCACATTGGAGTTCCCATGAGTTTATATGCCTTCCTAATAACAAATGACTTTACCTGCCCACTCTAGTAGGAGTAGAACCACCATAAATCTGTGCCTCCAATTTCCAGTCCTTGTTAGTGCTTCAGAAGTATATTATACACAATGGTATCAGACAATTTTGAGAGGTCTAATATGACCAAAGGGATATATTCCCCCCATCTAGATCCTGAAAAGGGTCATCCACCACAGCAACTAGTGCAGTTTCTGTCCCGTAACTGGATCTGAATCCTGACTGAAGAGGGTCTAGGTATAATCCATTTCATCTGTGATCTTCTGGAGCTGCTGCTGTTTTGTTTTTTTTAATGTAACCTTTTTTGGTAGAATTTTACATTTAAATTTGTATTCAGAATAATCTTGCTCTAATGTTCAGTGTAAATTCAGTAATTAAAAAAACAACAACAACTATTTCTCAGGCCCCAACCACCATTATGCAACTTTGTGTGATAGCTTGGCACTCTTCCAAAAATAATTGTATTAAAAGTGGCCCAAATCTTGTGAGATTTAATTATCTTACCTCAGGATTTTCAACACTAAAATAAGATTTGACAAAATTTTGGCTGTAAATAAAAGAATTAAAGGTGGCTGTGAACACTGCTTTAGCATGCTGTGGATGTCCGCAAGTTCCAAGTTGATACTTTTGTTCTTTTATCAATATTTTCCCCAATATTTTATTGGCAAGGGTTGGCAGTCATGGCTGCATGGGCTCACTGATAAAATTACTTTTAAAATCAGTGAAATTTTGCAAAATCCTTAAACTCTTACAAGATCTCACTGGGCTCTTTTGTGATTTTTTGTTGTTGTTTTTTTGCTATTTCATTTATGCCAAGAAGATTGACAAGTTTGTTCATCTTTATACTATACTGCTCTAACTGTGATGACTTGAATTCTAGAAAAAATGTAATGTTGCATTATGTTAGCTTTGCAAATGGATATTCAGATTACTGGATCATCTCTCAATCTTCTTAGTTCCATTCCCAACTTGCCAGAAACTTTATTACCAATACTTTATTACCAATACCAATACCAAGTAGTTCACCCTGAAAAATGTGGTGCAATGTGAGTAGGAGCTTATTTAATTTATGATTAATTGTCCAGGTGGATTTGTTATTTTGCCAAAGTGCAGGCTGTGGAGAATTACATGGGATTTTGCTAGTAAAGGAGTGGCAATATCGGAGAATAACTTACACTGAAATATGTGATTGAATTTTTGTTTAATTCACTTATGTATCTATTGAAAGTGTCTATTGTTTTTGGAGGTTTTTGCAGAAATATATTCAGAAAGAGGCTGAGAGTGTCAGGGTAGCAAAACCTAATGCCGCTGCATCAACCCAAGCAACACGACAGAAAAAGATGAAGCAGATCAGTAGTTTGGTTAAGTATTTCATCACGCATGCCAATAAAAGTGAGTGTCTTTTCTGTAAAAATACTTAAGACTTTAAAGAATTGTGGTAAAGACCTTATCTATCATTCTATCATGTAATAAATAATAATGCAGATTGTATCTGTTTTAATTATTTATACTTGTTTATATTTTATTTTATACCGTTAATTGCCTTGAATATCCTGTGGGTAGAAAGATGGTGTATTATCTGAACTAATAAATTAAATGAAAAAAATATGTTTGCCTTTTTGGCAGTTTGGGAACTCTTTCACTTTTTTCTCCCTTGGTAAAAGATAATTTTGCAGGAAGATCGGTGGCAATAATAGGCAGGAACGTAATTTGTGATTGTTATTAAAATAAAATTCACGTGGATTTTGCATTCTGTATTCCTGGTTCTTCCCTTCTCATTGAATCAAGTTGTATGTGGATGGCTCCTTGGGAGAAACACATTGCCATTAGACGAAAGAGCTCTAAAACAAAACTTGCCACATCCTAATAGTTCTGTACATTGGTTAATGGACCTGGTTGCAAAGGAAACTAGCCAGAGTCTCTAGTCTGGGCAATACCAAGAAAGAAAGGCAGCCCTTAATGTTGGCAAAACGTAACGTCTAGATTGCCATTTATTTATTTTTAAGGTAAACTATTAAGCATTTAAAAATCCTAATACAATTAAATTATGAAACCAAGATTTGTATTGTACCTTTGCAAAGGGCATAAATTATTGTTATTGTTGTTGTTTGGACAGTACAAAAAGATTTTGGAAATTATTTCACATTTCCATTCCATGAAATGCTCATGTATATACCTAAAGAACATGATACTTTTAACCTTTGCAGATATAGTTAATCTTTTCAAATTTAACTTACAAATATACTATTTCCGCTTTGCTAAAAGCTCACGTTCATATTTTGCTTCTACACAGGAGCCCCCAGAATAAAATGTCAAGAGCTTCTGAGTTATGTAATGGACACGCTAAATGAGTCATCAAGATACGCTATTTATGGGGCCGATTGTAATAGCATATTACTTAAGGACATTCTTAAAGTGAGGAAATACTGGTGTGAAATATCTCCACAACAGTGGTCAGGTTAGTAGTTATGACTCCTGTCTCATTAAGACTGGACTTGTATAAATGCTCAGGAGCAAGTGTCCCTGAATTCATAAAAACTGCTGACCTTCTGTGGTAGCCCAGAGAAAATGATAGTTCTGTGTCATGCCAAAAGAAAACAGAACTGCATCAATTAAAACAAGTCAGGGTTACAGCAGTGCAAATAACTATCAAGACCTTGAATAGCATTCAGCAGGAGATAATGCCTGGAGCCTTTTCAGGAAACAAGCAGTTGTCCCGAAGGCCATAAGATGGTTGGCAATGCTAACACTGCTTTGTAATTCTTAAAGATCTTACATTTATTGGTGTACTTTAGCGATCCTGGAAGACAGAAGGGTAGGAGAAGCTGGGTCCTCAAAGTCCAAGGCTGAAGAGAAGAGTCCATTTTCAGGCTGAGAAATTATAAAAACAGCTGCTGGGCTGTTACCCAAATTGAGGCAAACTGACTCTGGCTTCCATAAAGTAGTGTTGAACTATCACTAGTATATTGTGGACAAAGTTTGAACATTATGACTGCATAACTTACTGTTTGAGGGAGGTGAATTGTTCCATTAACCAACTACGGAATGCCTATCTTCTTTTGTTAATTACCTCTGTCACTGAATAGCATCCTTTTTCAGCTCAGATTTTTCTCTCTCTTGAGATTTCTGCTTAAATTGATTTCTTAAATTAATAAATATTGCTTGGACTTTATTAATCTGTAAGTTACACCTAAACATTTTAAGTATGATGATACTTGGGAATGTGCAGCTATTTGTATTCAAAGTAGGAAAGGTGCTTTGGTACCATCATGGGCAGAGTCTATGCCTTTAGGAGCTCCCTAAAAAAGTTGTATGCAAGCTTTTTCTGTTTTGGATCCAAAGAGTTGCACATCCCAGACAATAATATTTTACTGTTGATAATCTTTTCTTCTTGATCAGAGTGGCTTTATTGATCAAGCTGACTCTACTAAAACTCATAGACATGGTTCTTTGCTCAAATTAAGGTCACTGGGTGCTACTTCCTAAAATTCCTTTCAAAACAAACAAAATATGTATGGCCCTGCATTACAATACCATCGCTGTGTCATTAGATTTTTCCCGTAACCCCATAACTTTATGTTTTGTTCCACAACATAATAAAAGTGCAACCTCCAATCTGTTTTTAAAAAATACCCATCTCTGACATACAGGAATGAATGGCTGAAAATATGCAAAATGTTTAGTTATGTTGTCCCTTGTCAATCATTTGTAACCTCGTTAATAAATATGAATTTGGTTGTTCCTCTAGATCTCCAAAACCTGTACTTTGAACTATTTCTCAATCCTTCCAGAGATGTTAACAAAGTTTTGGTGGCTAGAATAATCTATACACTTACTAGAGGCCTCTGTTTCCAAACTGACAAGTTCAATTCAGATATTTTGAACTTCTTCTCAAAAGTTATGCACCGTGCAAGGTAAATACCATTTTCTTTGGCTGAATCAAATTTGAATGTAAAATGATAACTTGCAAAACATCTTCTGAGCTTAATTTTCCACTAATCTGATAACAGCTGAGCTCATTTTAACTGATTTAAATATTTTCTGTATCATTCTGATGTCAAAATATTTGAATTACTTGTAATTATTTTATTTCTCATATTTCTATAGTGCCAGAATTAAAAAAAATGGAACTTTGTATGAAATGAAATGTCTTTCATGTCTACTTCAGCTAATTATTAAGAATTACACTGTTGATTCCTGCTTGGTCTAATGGTTTATAAAAAAGCTTCTTCTTAATTCAGGATGCACCATAATTTCTGTTTGATCTTTCCTGAAAGGTAGAATGTATTACATTTAGTCAGTTTTGTAATCTCAGTCTACTGGTTCCTTTCTTTTCATGACAATAAACAGTAACTGTAGATAACTATGGAATTACTTGAAACTGCTAATCTTCAGTAGCAGTGTTCAATAACTGTAATCTTTTCTAAAGTTTTATGGTGTCTCATGGCACATCTGGATTGTGATAATGCTGCTTTACCTTTACAGTAATAATTTTCAAGGAGAAATATGAAAGCATGTATGCTTCCATAGAGAAAAGGAAGTAAATAAATGAAATAAAATATGTTGTAGCTTCACACGTAGTCATAGATCTTATGGTTAGATTCTTCATAATAAAAATATTTCGTATTTATACTGTAGGCAAGAAAGAAACCCTGCAGGCCTCGACCACATTTTTGCAGCCATTAACGTGTTTCTCCCCATTTATGCGATGAATTACCGAATGCAAGTTTGCAAATTAGGAGAGGAAATTCTATCAACTGTGCTTTTTATATGGGCTCATTACAAACCAAAAGACTTTTTGAAGGAGCAGATCATTCAATTTGTTCAGTTTCAGATTTGTGTTCATCATCCACATGGAGCTAAAACCCAGGAAGAAGGTACATGGAAAGCTGTGAAATGATATGGGGTGAATCCTTTAGGGCTTTATGTAATTTTTGTATGTTGGTGTTGGAAATGTTTGGGAGGAAATGTTGTGGGAAATGTCAGCCTGTTCAGCTTGTAAGTTAAACAGGAAATCTTAATAACTTGTAAAGGAGAACATCAGGAAATCATCAGGTTAAAGTGGGAAGTATTCTGGAAGAAGGTAATGGCAAATCACTTCTATGTTTTTGCCAAGAATACAGCATAGTGATGTACCTTTTTTTTCTTTTTTGCCTTTGAGTCAGTGTTGACTCCTAGTGACCAAGTCCCTGCAGTTTTCTTGGCAAGATTTTGGAAGTGGTTTGCCATTGCCTGATTTCTAGGGCTGAGATAGAGTGACTGGCCCAAGGTTACCCAGTTGGCTTTATTCCTAAGGCGGAATTAGAACTCACTGTCTCCCAGTTTCTAGCCTGATGCCTTAACCACTAAACCAAACTGGCTCTCTGATGTACAATGTAGTCACCAGAAATCCAGCTTGATCTGAGAGTGTCTTTTTCTGTTGTAATAAGTCATAATTTTTCACAGTATTGTTTGCTTAAATGTTTGTGTAATTGTACTAGACATGTGTGCATTGCTAATTGATAATGAACTTTTAAAATCATTGCATACCTTCCTTTTCTTTTGCATAGGTAATATGTAATAAGTTGGATTAAAATTAAATTGTCTAATTCTTGTACAAACAGGAGCATACAGCTCAGCAAAATGGCAAAATACTTTATACAACCTCTATGATCTGTTAGCCAATGAGATAACTCTTATTAGCAGCAGAGGAAAATATTCTTCAGGCTCACGCAGTATTGTTCTAAAGGACAACCTGGTTGAGTTAATGGCTGATTCTTGTCACCAGGTAATACTCCCATATGACTATTCTACATAGGGTTTCTGAGATCTAACAGTCCCACTGCATTCACTGGGGCAGTACAAAGGAGACCTGTCTGCTTGATCTTATGCAGTTGGGCAGCCCCTTTTCCTTAACTGATTCAAAAGAAAAGTCTTCAGCAGTTCCAGGGGGTGTGGCTGATGACATGCTATTGTTATTGGGATTGACATTTTCAGCTTTTTTTTTTTTTTTTTTTACTTTTGGGGATGTTTTTAAGGGACAAAACTGATTTTTTTTAAGCCTCATGAAAGCTTAATGTATACAATTTCTCTTTAGTTTGCTGCAAAACTGCAGAAAATCATATCATTTAAATTTGCTGGTGTGATCTGAAGATGTTCTGGGGACTGTTTTGGAGCTAGGGTTCATCTAGTGGCCATGGATAGCCCATCTCTGGACTAGATGGATTTGGATCTTGGAAACACAATATTTTAGTCTTAATAATTTTTTATACTGCACATTTTTATGTAAAATATGTAGCAACATTTCTCTAATTCTTTAAATGTCTTATTTTTTAAAATAAGGTATTTACTCAAGACACCAGAGTCCTGGAAGTAACTCAGTTATATACAGTTACTCAGCCAGAGGCTGGAGATGGAGAAGGACCATCCAAACGTAGGAGAATTGAATTAGGTTGGGAAGTGATTCAAGAACACTTGCAAAAGTCACAGAATAGTTTTGATGTCATACCTTGGTAAATAAGAATGAAAGAAAAATATTCTAGTTTATTTCTGAAAAGTGTCAGTTATTTACTTTTTCTTAATGATCTTTGATGTTTTGGTTTCAAGGCTGCAGATTACCACCAGATTAGTATCCAAGTACCCCAGGAGCCTTCCTGACAATGAGTTGACTCATTTACTTAATATACTATACCAATTATTACTACAGCAGCGTCGAGGAGAACGGACCCCTTATGTATTAAGATGTCTTAAAGAGGTTGCACTTTGTCAAAGCCAAAATAAAGACCTAAATGTCACACAGAAGTTAGAACTGCAGCGAACGTGGTCCAGAATTTGGTCTCTAGTAGATCGTAGTCTAAACCTTCGACAAACTGAAATGGAAAGCTTTGAATTGCTTGGAGTCATATTTCAAAGAAATTTAATAACAATGGACAAAGAAATCTGGAGGATATTTACAGGTTCCGCATGCAAGCCATCAAGGTAAAATGAAACTATTTTGATACTCAACTATTAATTGTATGTTAATTTCAAAGTAGTACACCAGGATAAGCAACTCATACCCTCCCGTGGTTTTCAATTTCAAGTTTTCATCTGGCCAGTGATAAAACGTTATGACAGATATAATTCAAAACATGCAACATTATTAGATTGTCTGCCCCTGCACTACAAGTGCTAGAAATTTAGTTAAGGCCATATCAATTTTGTATTTAAGAAATTATTTTCATCTTTAGTTCTGTTTTCTAAATAGTACTAGCATGGATGTCCTAAAGTGAAGGAAAATAGTGTAATATGTATTGTGATATCATTATGACATAATTGTGACTTCTACTAGTCACTTAAGAATAAAAGCACATGCTGATCTGTTGGAAACCCCTTTTGAGTAATTTGGGTATTTTAATCATTTACCTAACTTAGATGCAATCTTATAAGCCTAAATCATATTTCATGCTACATTATGAAGTTTAATTGGATTTGACTTTGTGTGCTCTGTGAACTCTTGGAAGAATATTGTATAAAACTATTGAGACTTAACAGAAACTTTCTGAGTAAACATATCTATGTTAGAGAAATGCCAGCTGAAAGGTGAGTTTCCTACCCTGCTACTCGTCCCTTAAGCAGTATCAATGTCCTGGAAAAACTGTTCCATAAATGTGGAAGGGAAAGTCTGTAAAAAAATTGAAAAGAGGAGCTTTTTATGAGGAGGAATTGCTACCTATGCAATTTAGCTTTGCCCATTTTTATTAATCCGTGTATCACATCTTGGAATAAAATAAGATCTGGAAAGTTAGCTTCTGGCCAATCCTGGATAGGCTAGGATCTCTGATCAATCTGTATAATTATGGTGATATTTTAGATAAAATTCTACTAAATTTTTTGCTAGAAATTATGTTGGGGCATTTTATAACATAAACAACCAATTTTGTAGCTATTTAAAACTGATTAGGTAAGAAGAAAGTATATTAGAACTTTTTGTTACAGTTACTTCCATTTTTTTCAAAGTAAGATTTAAAAAACAATATGTAGATCTAGAGGACAGAGGGAATGGTCTTGAAGGGCAGGAAGAAGAACCACTACCAAGGGAATGGTCAGATAAAAGGGGCCTGACCCCCAGCCAAGAAAGTAATGTGAGTAAATGTCTCAGACAAGCCCCTTCTTAGTTCACATGAAAATAAAGGAAGGGAGGGGGGAAGTGCATTCAGACTTGCAAGATTCTGTTACTAAAGCTTTGCAGTAAAAGTAGTACTGGACTACATGTCATTGGTGTCCTAGTCAGATCTACCTTGAAGGAGTGACAGAATTACAAGAGTGCTGTATGTCAAATAATGAATTACTGATTGGATAGTAAAGAACACAGGCTGGCTTTACACACTGTGTCAAACTGCTTTTTGTGCTTTTTTAAGCATTGTTTGTTAACTAAACAAAATGGCTGATTTCACATATTTTACATAGCCAACTTTAACTTGCTGTGTTCCTGATACTTTAACTACAGTATAGTTAAGATTATGCATTTTTTCTCCCCTTTCTGGTCTTGCATTCACTACCCCTAACTGTTTCTGATTAGCTTTAATTTGATCTCTCCTAGCCTAATGCCTTCACCAGATAGCATGAGCGCTGGCTAAACTAACAGGGTTGGTAAGAAGTTTAACTACTGCTGACAATTATATCTGTATTAACTAACCATTCTTTATCACTTGGCTTTTTAATTACATTTTACAAACCTATTTCAAATTCCAGTTAGCATTCCAATTCTGATTGGTGGAATCCTAGTTAAACATGATGTGGTTTTGGCCATGGGAAGGAGAATATTGGAATCTGAATTCACTCACTGGTGATGTTATATGAATACCAGAGCGGTAAATCAAGTGCTTGTACTTACTGTTGTTATTATTTGTTAGTTTTGCTGTGCAGTGTTTGGCATCAGCAATGACAGCTGTAGAAATACCAGAAACTTCGAAAACTGGATCATTTCAAAATGATTGGGAAGGAAATGCAGCTTATACACTAAAAGAACGAGTTGTGAAATGGCTTCTCTTCTGCTGTGTGGAGGAAGTTATGGAAGACAGCATGGAGCTCCCTCCAGTTTTGTGCAGGTATGCCCAGGAAATCAAGCAGCCTAAAAAGAATTAGTTGTTCATCAGAGGAAATCAAACTTCGCTGTTAGTTTTTAATTTAACTTTAGTAAGTAAGTTTAAAGTGCTACTTGGCTGAAATTTCATAGTGGATTAGAATTTAAATCAGTTTGTCTTAAAATATTCTTAGTTTTAAAAATGTTTCAAAAAATAATTGGTTTGAAGTTAAGCTTACAGGATAATATAAAAATAAGGCTTCGAATCTATATTTTAGTGAGAGCTTTCAGTAGAACAAGCCTATCTCAGATCAATTTGCTTTCTATGTTGTTTTGCAATTGAATGGCATTTAAATACATAGGGCTTTATGAAGAATATCTAATGTTTTCCACTTTTAAGGAAGTATCCAAACATACTGTAGGTGAAAACTTTTATAAGCACAAAAAACAGGTTGTGTAATTTAGATTTCTTCTCTAGCTCTAGTTCCCACCCTGCCTTAATCAGGAAAGAGCTGGCTCCTTCCAGCTCCCCCCTCTGTTTTTGCTTTTCTGACTTTTCCTTTTTCTGCTCCTTTTTGTTTTGGCTCAATGTTTTCTGTACTTTTAACAGTTTGTATCCTTTTTCTTTTTCTTCTGTTTAACTGAAAAGCACACGGTGTCACAGTCTGCACAGAGAAAAGTTATAATGTATTTGAACTCCGAGACTCTGTTGAAATGATCACTGGGACCTTTATTGCTAGTACCAAACAATGCGTGTATGCTTTCTTTAAGAAACCTGGAGCCCATAAATGTTGAGTGATTATCCAGCAAAAAAGAAAGGATATTACTTAACTTATTGTAATCTAATATTTTGGTATATATTTGGCCACAGATTGGAATTGGGGAGAATATTTCAGTCCAGGACCTAATGAAGAGATCTAAATCTCATAAATCGTGTCTTTCCCCTCTCACTTCTTATTCAGTCATTTTCAACTTTTCATAACTTGATGAACATCATTTCTCCAGGATTGTTTTTCAGTAACAGTAATTTTTCATTCAGTTCTTGTAAGCTCCTGCTTGTGTCACCTGTGATTTAGCCACCTTGTCTTCTTTTGGCCTCTTTGATGGATTTTTCCAAGTGTCATGGGCTTCTTGAATTACTCTTGCTTTCATATTATGTATCAAAAATATTTTATCTTCATAGTTAGTGCTTTTGGTGAACAGTTTAAATTCTGTTCTGTCCAATAGCAGATGGATTGTTTTAAGAAAGAGTTAGCTGAGGGTGATGTTGGAAGTACTTCCCACTGAAATACTTGATGCACAGAAAACTTAGACCTTCATATGCATCCTTTATTGAATCTATTAAAATTGCAGTACTCAAACATATAAAAACTCTGGTATGTTGCATCATGAAAGTATGCTGTTTGTTTTTTTTGTTTTTTTCAGTGACTTTCCTAAGCTAGAATTACAGAAAATCCTTGTAAGTCTGACTATGAAAAATTGTAGAGCAGCAATGGCATTTTTCCACAATACATCAGAATGGTATGTTTTTAAAAATTAATGAAATAATTTTCATAACTTGAATATAATTTTAAATGTTAATTACAAAAAACCGAGTACCACTCTAGGTTATTTCATAGCATGGGTTTATATGCACCATGCTCTACTTATATAGTATTATGGAAATTATGTACTACTTAAACACTATGCATGAATATCTTTTAACATCCAAAAAGTATTCACACACAGTTTGCATTGTATTGCTTGATCAGCAGCTTCTGATGCCACATGGTGTTGTAGCTTTAGAAATCAAGAAAACTTGGCAAAAGCAGTTTACCTGAGCAATATTATTGACTGTTACTGTTCCTTGAAACTATTCCTCTAGGTCTCTGAATAGATATAATATTTGAGCTAAGGATTAGTGGAATATCTGTACAGTGATTGGCTCCTTCAGAGATTTTACAAAAGGGATTGCATTTTATTTTACCATGCTTTCACTTTTGTATATATCTGATATTTTGTCTATCAGAATATTTGCATGTAATTGTTTATATTGGATACATATAGATACAGACTTGCACAAGTGTATATACTCAATGCATATTTAGGACTATTGATTGAGAAGAGTTATTTACTGATAATAAAAATAGTTAATGTTTGCTTTGAAAAAGGCAGAACATTATTTTTTCAGTTTTATCCTTTGATGAAAACTCTTATTTGTGTCCAAATATATTTGGACTACATAAATTTAGTCACACATAATGTCTGTTTTTGTTTCTTTGTGTCAGTTTGTTTGGTTCTGTTTATGACTCTAAAGACATTCTTTTAAGAACCAGGAATCCCCTTCTTACATATAATCCATGCATGAATACTGTTTTCTCATACAGGAGTAGGTTAACCCCTGCCCAAAAAAGACAGGGATCATGTGATCTAAATTTTATCTCTAAGTTGTTGCCATTAAACTCCTCCTGTTCTTTTCCCTCCCTTTCAGAGGACAGAGCTGTTTGTTTGCATGTTTGTTAGAATTATACTCTACTTCTTTCCAGGAGCTTAAGACAGTTTATCTGGGAATCTCCATTTTACCCCTAGTGAGGTAGGTTGGGCTGAAAGAGAGAGTGATGGCCCAGAGTCACCCAGTGAGTTTCCATGGCCGATGGTGGATATAAACCTGGATATTCACAGTCGGATACTTTAGACACTACCTCGGACTGGTTGTCTGCTATTTAGCTCCTCTCGGTTCTATATACTTTGCTCTAAGCCAGGATTTTTAACTATGGTTTGTCAAACGTGTCATAGAGATCTTGTTTGTACAAAATTTTGAACCATAATAGTAATTTTATATGTTACATAAAATTAAAAGCCAACGAACCATATTATGGCTGAACATTATTTTTCAGCTTTGTATCCTTGTCTTTTCCTGAGCTGCTGTTATTCTCTGGCCGTATACTTCAGCCTTGGTCACCTCCTTTGTTATGCTAACTTTGAATTCCTTTTGTTACTAAAGTACCTCCACAAACCTAGTTCAAAAGGAATGATTGGACACTGATAATAAAAGAGCTTCTAGTTTAATTTGACTGAGTCCCTAACCAGTTTGGGCCTGACTAAGTATATTGAGCTCTGAACACTGCACAAATCTCATGTACCAAACTTAGAGATCACATGACTCTGGCCTTTCTGGGTGGCAGGGATTTTAACCATTGTCAGATGCTCATTAATAAATGATAAATAAATGAAGATAAAATTTATTTTATTAAGTACACAACATACCCAAGAGAAAGAAGAAACGAGTCTTTCCGAAATTGAAGCTTTTTACCTGCAGACAACCTTCAATGAAATTGATATTTTTACAAATATGGCAGATGAAGTATCAGAAAACAAACCTTCTGGTTCCAGCCTTGTTGTCAGTCAAAAGCTTGAAGAAACCTTAAAACATGATCTTATGATGATGTCAGAGCAGCTGCTTAGCAATGTTTCTCTTGAGGTAAGCCAGAAAAGCAAATTGAAGCCTGTGTTCTTTGTTCATTGTGACGGGGTTATTAAAGTCTGACTTGTCTCCTGTATATTTATGAGTAGACTTCAGTATTAGTAAAATTAATAAAATAGATAGGCAGTTTTTTTAGGCCAGGGGCACATAGAGCAAATTGAGAGCATTTGGAAGTGGATTTGCCAAGGGACCACCATGGGAGACTGGTCTGTCTACAGATGTGGGTAACCAGTCAGAAAACTTTTGCTTACCAGAAATGCAAACTAAGCCCCAAGAGGGCTGAGCATGTTCTGTTGTGGGGCCCAGAACATTCATGCAGGGAAATATAATGGCAGAGGTAATGCTTTGCTTTGCAGCTTGCCAGCTCTCTATTTATTTATTGTATTAATTTTTTAAAAAAATCATCCTGCAAGATGCCTAGGGGCAGCACATTGCCTGCCCCTGAAATAGACAGAGAATTGTTTATGTTGGGTTGCTCTTCATTTATCTAGTTTGCATTTTCAAGATTTGCCCAGTTCATTTGTTTATTAGAGGTGAGGTAGTGATGTTGCAGCACTATGGTGGAGAAATAATAAGAGTTTCTACTTTTCACCAAATGCTGACACCATGAACTGAGACCTTCATGTAAATTCACCATTGTACAAATGGTCATTTGATTGATAATTTTGCACTGGGGGGAATCCCATGATTTGAATCTCTACAGTGCTCATGGAGAACCCTTAGTTGATGTTGCAAACTCTGTGTGATGGATATAGTTGAAGTCCAACCATTGGGGCGGGGGGGTGAAGAAGTGGAGAAGCCTGGCTTAGAATGTGCCTTCTGCCTAGAGTCTTTCTCACTAGAAAGGTGATGAAATTATGCAAGGAGAGAAAATTGTATTATGGTAGTGGCACAAGCAATAGGATTGAGTATCTTTTTTTCCCTTCCTTTATCTGCTGTTAGCAGGCAGGATCCTGACAATAATGTTTGCTCAGGACAACAGAGGTTCACTGGTTGATTTGAGACCAGTGATAGAAGAGGAAGTAACAGGCTTTTCAATGAGCTGAATAGCAATCAAACTGATACAAATCTGATACCCCATTTTTAAGATAAACTTTGGGGGAGAAATCCTTGTCTTCCTTTCAGAAAATTTATGGTATTGTATAAAATTAGCAATCTGTGCAGCCAGTGAATACTGATATTTCTAAGTTGTTTAGCATCAATCTTCTTTCCACCATCATCTCCCTATAACTCCCTTGGTTGTTATGCAGTATATAAAGAGAAATCAATAATTTTGGTAAACTGATAGATATTTTACTGTGCTCTATTTTTCAGTAAATGTGTCTTTCATTGTTTTATAACATCCAAGCGTGTAGGCTCAGTTTTTTTTACATGTTTTACATTAGTGAAAGTCTGAATTAACACATTCCAAAAATAAATTCATCATGCCTACCAATTGTATTTAAGTAATCTATAATTTATTAAAATATTATGTAAATTATAACTATTGATTGAATGTATTTAATACAAAGTTTTAAATAGGTTTATGCAATTCATTTATTTTTCAGACTATATCTATGGAAATTCTGATGCGTTGTACCAGCATCTTGACTGGTGTTCTTGGCTGCTATTGTTATGCTGGCATTCTTACAGAAGAAGAAGCATGTAAATTGGATCTTTTTCAGAAAGCTAAGGTAGAGCTTTTTGATTTAAGCTAAAGTAATTGTTCCTAGTTGATATGAAGAGGTATTCATATGGGAATTGTTCCTAGTTGATATGAATAAGGTATTATATCTCCATGATATAATCTCAAGAAACATATGAAGATGCCTTTAATGTATGAGATCCTTCAGGTTTCATCCTCTTTATAATTCATTTTCTACCTTCATCCTGGATAGTTTTTCTTCTCTGTAGTATTCTATTTGTATGCTTTTCTTTTACCTCCAGGATGGGTAATGGTGGGAAAAGAAGACAAGATTGTTCTGTAGGAATAAATAATTTGCAAATAAGATCAAGGAATGTTGTGACCTTTGGAGAAGTATTAAGAGGGTGCATGTTTTTTTATTACAGGTAGTCCTTGCTTAACAATGGTAATTGGGAGCAGAATTCTTGTCGCTAAGCAATGCGGTCATAAAATACAACATCACATGACCACATTGCTTAGTGATGGCAATCCTGGCAGTCCTCATTGCCACTGTAAAGTGAGGATTGCAAGTTGTTAAGCAAGGACCTCCTCACAACATCCGGGCAGCTTCCAAAAGCATAATCAATGGGGAAACTGGCAGGAAGTTGCAAAACCCAGGCAGCTTGAAAGCAGGCCACCAGGCAGGAAAGTGGCTGCGGCCAGGTGGAGGTGGTCAGCAAAGGGTGGCGGGGCTCGGGGTGGCTGCTGCCAGGTTGGGAAGGGTGCTTGGGTGGCCAGGAGGCACCACGTAGGAGAGACTTACCAGAGCAGCTTGCAACCTTCCCCGCAGGCTTCCCCGTTGAGTTTGCTTGTGGGAAGCCAGCAGGGAAGGTTGCAAATAGCAATCATGTGACCATGAGATGCTGCAACCATTGTAAGTGTGAGCTGGTTGCCAAGCACCCAGATAGCAATCATGTGAATGTGGGGGGTGCTGGGACAGCCGGAACTTAGAGGATCAGTTGTAAGTACCATTCGTTCAGCGTTGTAACTTTGAACGGTCACTGAACAAGTGGTCGTTAACCAAGGACTACCTGTATTGTTTTGCAAAGTGTTTAGTAAAGGAGACCAAGCAAGAATCAGGTTAATTCCTTATTAGCTACAGTCTAAATGAAAAACAATTTAATTTATATTGTAGAAAAATTACTCAAGAATACATATTGGTGCACATTTTGAATACTGTACAAA